TCTGCAACACTATCCCAGATTTCCTTAGCTGAGTTCATCCATAGATAATGTTGACTAATTTGTGGCTGCATTGAATTCACGAGCCACCCAATAACGGTGTAATTCTCTTGCATCCATTTCTCATAAGAGGGATCATCCACTGGGGGAGCTTTCTTGCTCCCAGAGATAAACCCCCACTTCCCTCTACTACAAATATAAATTTTCACAGATTGTGACCATGCTAGATAGTTGGTTCCATCCAGTTTAACCGTGGTCACAATCAACAAGGAATCAACTGGAGTTCCCAAAGCATGTCCATATTCAGCAACATTCTTACTCTCAATATCTGAGGAGTCCATCATGTAAAAACTTCAATTAGGGTTTCGGTCAACTTCTACTAGTGTACTGATTGTTGATGAACTCAGATTGGGTTAAATCGGCAACAAAACACAGCAACACACAAGGCCAGTTCAGACCTGACAGCCGTGAGAACCAAGCTCGATGGCAGCACTTTCAAGAAGAAGAAAGCCTGATTCAGCCTTCAAGAGATAACCAATAGACCTCCAAACACTGTGTACCCGATTGGAGTAGCTTCCTAGTTAGGGATTCCAGGTTCCCAACAATAGGTGCCCTAAAGAGAGACAAACACAATCCACAGAAATTAAAGGGGCCTTTCTACGAACACTATATATGCAGCAGTGAACACCCCACTGTCACCAAGTAAGAACCACTTCAGGAGCAGTCCGTATAGGTCCAAGAAGCAACTGAACTGAAGTAGGAACTCGCGCCACTGAGTTCAAAAAAGTTTCGGCCACTGGACAGTCCAACAAGATGAGAAACCAACCCAGAAATCTCTGAGTTAAATCAGGTTGACCACCACTGAGCAGCTGAACAGATTTAGAGGGGTTTCGAACACTCTAACAGTCCCCCCAAATCAGACATATAACCCAGAAATAACTGAAGCAACTTACAGTTTTATCAATCTCTGATTCGAGCTCCAAATCAAGTCGAACAATCCTTCTCTCTGATTCTTCCTGGTCACTGAACTATTCTCCAAGCGATTAGAGTCTTGGGCACCCTCCAATGACCTCCAAGAATCAGGCGAATGAGTCTAAACTTCCAGCCCTAGAACACCCTCATGCAGTCGGCTGGACTATACCCACATGAGAGCCAAGCCAAGCTCAGGCCTGCTCTGATACCAAGATGAAAAACAGCCCTTCGAAATATGAGACTAAGATTAAATGAAAATCCAAAAAAGGCAAACACCTGAAAAGATTGGTGAAGATGGAGAGAGAGAGCTGGCAGCAAGGAGGGTTAGAGGATGAGAGGTTCGAACTAATCTCCCCCTCTAACACTCTAATACAATTTTATCAAGTTAATTCTTGAATAATTACAAGAGAGGCCCTTGGTTGGGCAAGAAATTACAAAAACAAAGCATAAAAGAGGATGGGCCCAAAATAAGGCCCATTACAGAAAAGAACATAAATATAACATAGAATAACAGCCTATAGGCCTTTCGGCCCATCTTCTCTACAAGCCCCAAGTGGGAACCCCAAATATTTCCTAGGTAGATGATTCACCTGACAAGCCAAAATTTCAGCCAACTCCAAATTTTCAACTTGCCCTACAAGAAAAATCATACTTTTCCCTAAGTTTACTTTAAGCCCTGACACAGCCTCAAAACAACACAAGATGCCAAGCATAGATTCAAACTGATCTGGGGAAGCATCAATAAAGCACAAGGTGTCATCAGAAAATTGGAGAAGATGACCTTCTCCCCACCTGGAGAGATCTCAAAACCACCCCATAAACCTTCTACAATAGCCAACTTGCTAAACTGAGAAAACACTTCCATGAGACAGATAAAAAGTGGGGGGAAGAGAGGATCCCCTTGCCTAATCCCTCTAGAACTTTCATAGAAGCCCGCCACTTGTCCATTGATTAGAATTGAAAATTTAAGGGAAGAAACACAAACTTCCATCCAGTTCCACCATTTGCGACCAAAATTTTTTATCCCAAGAACAAACAGAAGGGAAAAACAACCCCTCCAAGCTAATAGGAGAGAGCCACCTACAACCAAAAAGTGAGGCAAACAATTCCTAGATAAAGCAACAAAGGGACAGGAGATTAAAAGATGAAAATCAGCCTCACCATTAACCTTGTACAAGCTGCACTAGTTGGGGGACAAACACCAGTTTGGCCTTTTTCATTGAAGCTTATCACAAGTATTAACGCAACCATGAAACACTTCCCAACAGAAGGCACTCATTCTAGGGGGAACGGGAGGACACAAGAATACCAGATACCAATCAATATAGTTAACCAAACACATTGAGATCAAAGACACTTTGTAAGCAAAAGAATTATATTTGATGACTTGTGTATTCCCTACATGCCCTCTGGAAGACAACTTGCTGATGTTTTCAGTAAAGGGTTGCCAAGGGATAATTTTAATGAATTGTAAGCTGGGCACAATCAACACCTATGTGAAACTTGATGGGGAATGTTGTAAGCGTTAAACATCATTTTATTTGTTTTTCCCAATATGTTTTGGTGTTATCACCCAACTAAGGACAATCATGTATTTTTTTTTTTGATGAATCAGTCATCTAATTTCCCCATATTTTAAAGATGAGTATATATGTTATGGAAGGATGGAGAGCAAGTGAACTTGAGCTACCACCCCCTTTCTCTCAATCTTCTTATTCTCCTCTTACTTTCTTTTAGGGCTGAAAACTAACATGCAGTATAGGGTGTTCCTGATAGCAACACATAAAACTGAACTTTCATGGTAGTTCCCTAAGCAATCTGGGTCAATCAGGTGTGGGGGGAGTATTTAGAGATCATGAGGTCAAAATGTTAATGAACAATGTAGGCCCAGCAAGGGTTGGTAACTCTTTAAAAGCAGAATTACTGGAACAATATCAAGATCTAAACTAGCATTGGGAGCAAGATGGAATGGAATCAAGGTTGAAGGTGACTGTCAAATGGCTTAAGCTGGTTCAGTGAAGATGAAGGTCTTTGGATCTTTGGATTTCTGATTAGGGAAATCAAATAATTGAAATCCAATATGAAGTGTTTGTTCAAATGGGTTCCAAAATCAGATAACAACCTGGCTGATAGTTTCACAAGATTGGGGGATGCATAGAAATACTCTAGAATCAGGCATGCCAGGTCTAGGAAGGGGCATCATTGTTAACTGGGTTAAATGATTGTAAAAACTTGTGAGGGGAAATGAACAGCCATTAGCTGTTTTTCTACTAACTACTCTATTTTGGAGTGCAGAGCTCTATCTCCATTACATTGCATATCCAATAAAATTTCACCATGTTAATGATCAAAAACAAATTCTCCTAAAACAAGTGTAGAGTTCTATTTATGCTGACTCCAGCCCTCAGTTTGTTGTTTTACCCCTCTTACTGCTGTCTGATTTTTCCACTCACAAGTCACAAATACATAACATTAGGTCATTCTTTCCTACTCTAAAATAGCTACATGCTACGGAAACCAGCTCATTAGATATTTGCAACCTTGTGGCTCAGGAAGTATTAGCCTGTAAGAAACCTAGGAAAAAAGGAACATTACCAAAATTTCATTCAGGCTATCCAGGGCCTGTGGAGGGGTGAACTAGATACTGACCCAAACTTCAGCATTTTATTGCACAAAGTGGCCACTCTATACTCAAACCCTTGTTCTCACAGTTTTCTGCCCAAGATTTTACCACTACATCAAGCAATGGCCCCTTTGTCAGTAGCTTAGGACCCAAATATGAAAACTTAGATGTAGCAGAATGCAGCATTTACTGCTTCAATTTCTCACTTTGCTTCTAAATGAAGTGTTTCTACCATGCCAATCTGTGCCTGTAATCAACAAGGTGTGGGCCACCTTTGAGTCACTCCCATGATTCCAAATCAAAACAATTTAAATTCCAAAATCTAAAACCATGACCAAGCAAATGAATGTGACAAGCACTGGTAACTATAATCTTAGTGGGATGACATTTAACATGATACATCCACTAGGGAGGTGTCTTAGGACTAGAAGATTCTCTGAATCATGTATAATGTGTACTGCTATTCTGGATACCTATTATTATTTGTTGTTTCGTTTACATGTAAAGAAAGCATATTGACAAAGATAAATGATGTATAAAACTTCCTATGAACTTTAGAATACCTATTTGAACCAATTCTTGTCAATAGCTCACTATCAGGGCCCTTGGTTTCAGAATGTAAATACACATATCAACAAATCATAAAATTTTCCATTAGGGAACCAATTCTACAAGGAACCCCTGAATTAAATAAAAGTTTTTCACCAGTGTGGTGTCACATATAAGACAGTTGCGACCTAGGTGCAACAACAATCAACCTGTCAGAAATGTCACCCCTCATGTAAAAATCACCTAGAAGATCACTACCCCTTTCTTTTTGATAAGGTTTTCCCTTCTTTTCTTTCTTTTGAGATCACTTCTCTTAAAAAAAATAAAAATAATAAAAAAACCGATAGTTGCTAAACTAAAGTCTAGTACAAGAAAATAATTTGTCTGAAGCATAAAAACACCAACCAAACTTCTAACAAAAGGTGTATTTTCAATTTAGTTATGTCAAAATTACCTCACTAAGAGTAACTCTTGAACTCTTGGAATAAATCTAACAAATGGGAACTCAAAGTTACCTGACTGTTAAGTGCAGAAGTAGCTGATCCTCGGTCTTCTGGATGCAATGCAAGAAGGACATCAATAAGAACCAAGACTGAAGAAGGAAAGTCCTTGAACGTCTCTACAACACAACGCTTATAAGGATGTTGAGGCTTGAAACTGGTTGCATGTGGCAGTCTTGATTTCCTCCAGTAGTCTTCAGAGGGTGAACCACAAAGCTTAAAAATCTTGTGCAGTTGTTCAACCTATAAACGTTAAACATGAATACGTCAACTATCATTTAAATCCATATGGAGAAAAAACTCATTTTTATCAATTGTTGTCTTGAAATGTAATCCATTTCCTAAAACTGAGAAGTACAAACCTAGCTGTTTCCTATCCCATCTCATAACATCTCACAAACTAAATGCGGAAAGAGAAGAATATACAAGAACATTCCTTTTTCTCTTCACTTCCCACAAATGAAAAACAGCCTAAATGAGATTTATTATGTTGAAACATCTTATGCATTAAAAAATGAGAAATCCATAGCAGGATAACTGATGTTATCAATGAAGAAATATCATAAAATCTGAAATATCTGTAATCCATAATAAATTTGGATTATAGCCAAAAAATGAGGTGGTGCACAAATTGAATGTTTTCATTGATGGCTCAGTGGCCAACCATCTAATAGGGCATTTATTGTAACAAACAGATAAGTTTTCACTTCACCATGAGAGGCTTCTTATTATGAAAAACCCAAAAGATGTATAATACAAATATGAGTTCCAAAAGGTAAATAGATAATAAAATATGTAACAGATCTAGGAAATAGGCAGGGAAGTACCTCAGTTCTTCCTGGCATGATAGGCTTCCCTGCAAATAACTCTGCAAGGATGCATCCTGTGCTCCAGAGATCCACAGCAACACCATATTCAGTAGCACCAAGCAAGAGCTCAGGAGGCCTGTACCATAGGGTTACAACACGGCTTGTAAGCGGCTGCTTTTTGTCAGGATTGATGAAGGTCGCCAGCCCAAAATCACCAATCTTCAGAACTCCATTGTTGTCAATCAGAAGATTTGAACCTTTGATGTCTCGATGAAGGACTCCACGACTATGGCAGTGTTCAAGCCCACAAAGTAGCTGTTGCATATAACATTTAATCTGCAATTATAATACACAGACTTCTATATGAGACACCAAAAGAAGAATCAACTTGGATTACATAAATTGGAGAAATCAATGATAATGATGCAGATCCATGGCAACTGCCTACTGTCTAGCATGTCATAAGCATGGTCTATAATTTCTAAAAGGGATAATTACTTATATGTACCTTGAAGTTTGAGGAAACCACTTATATATACCTTGTAGTTTCAAAACCTACTTATATATACGCACTGAGGTTTACACCACAGGTCCATGAGGCCACATGCCTCATATGCCTTTTGCTTGAGGCATTCTAGAAGTGTACACCTCATGCACTTCATGCACGCCTCCACATTTTATAACGTTGAATCTAACAGATAAAACTTAAAAGACCAAAGTATGCTTAACTGTTCATTAGATTTTCAAAACATGTCATTCTTTCTCTTCTCTTCTTCTTTTCCATCTTCCTCTATTTCTTCTTCTTTATCCCATCCTCTTTTCTCCGCTGCTGCAAACACCATCACCAAAAGACAACGGTGGTGTTTTATAGCTGTAATGGACATTTCTTCTTCTTCACCGCTGTAAACACCACCAAGATACGACAGTGGTGTTTCAGAGTTGTAATGGATGTTTCTTCTTCTTCCTCCCTTCCTCTCTTCTCCTCAGCTGTAAACATCACTGAGAAACAATAGTGGTGTTTCAGAGTTGTAATGGATGTTTCTTCTTCTTCCTCCCTTCCTCTCTTCTCCTCAGCTGTAAACATCACTGAGAAACAATAGTGGTGTTTCAGAGTTGTAATGGATGTTTCTCCCTATTCAATATCGATGGACATTGAAGAAATTTCGATATTGAAAAACATTCCACCATGTATAGTTGGAGAGATTTCAGAGATATTTTGCTAATTTTGCTAAGATATTTGGAAAAACTAAAAAATTAGAAGAGTTTTCTAGAAACATAAAATTAGTTAACAAAACTTTAAGAGGTCACTAGAAGAAATATAATTGCACATTTAGGTCTCAAAAAACCACAGCAAAAAACTATATAAATCAAATAGGAAAAATTAAGAGACTGTAACAGGTATGTTTCTCTTTAACTCCCTTTTGGTCTTTATTCTCTTCTTAATATAAGTCAATTACTTGTCTTTATTGTCACTATATGTTTTGATTAGATTGAGAACACTCTTTTGTAGTCATGTGCGTTTTTATTTTTCTTTGGAACTATAGTACCTTTAAGTGATTCATATCAAAGTAGTATGCAAATTATCCGATCAACAATTTTGTGTTGGTTCTTTTAGGAAAATATTTTTTGAAAAAATTATGATAATTTTTTATTGGAAAGTAGTGATTAATATTCTAAAATTTTAAATTTTAATTATACAGTCTATCAATGAAACCTGAAATATCACCAACATATCGGCAAAATATCAGGAATATTTGGAAAACATGAACTCCTAGAAGATCTTGTATTGCCACCTAGAAAATGGGGATATTTTAGGGATATTTTGCCAAATATCAAAGATATTGTGAACTATGTCCCTTCCTCTCTACCCCGCTTCTGCAAACGCCACTCGATTGAAGCACTATTCAATTGCTTTGTTTGCCCCTTGTAAAAATTCATACATATATTTCCATTATCTACTTTCTTAGGTGTGCCCCTTGTAAAAATTAATCAAAATTGATATCTCCCCATTTCCTTTTAAAAGTCAAACCCGCATAGAACAAAAGATGAAGAGAGAAGAAGGTGGGAAGTGGGAGAGAGAAGAGGAACCAGTGGGCGGGGAAAATGGTGTGCTGCAGTGGGACCAAATGCGAAGAAAAAAAGTTAGTGGGGAGAAACCCAAATTTGGTTGAGCCCTCCCCCAGTTCTAGTGCTTTGCAAGAGGCCGAAAAGGAGGTAGCTCGGGTCTTCTCAGAGCAGAACAAAGGTACCTCACAAAGAGGTACATACTTGGGTACAAAAAGGGGTCTTTGTGTTGATACAACGACAGGGATTTTCTTCCCCCAACTCAGGGAGACAGAGTGCTCTAATTTCTCAAAAATGAAAGTGACTACCACTCCTTCGCCTATGCTCTCTCCTCACTTCTTTGCCCCAGGTAAATCCCTCAACTCTGTCAATTCAGTTTTGGCTACTGATGAGCGCTCTGTGTCCCTTGTTCCAGATTCTCTTCCCAACCAAGAGTCGGAAGCCCTTGGTCTGAAAGACACAATGCGTCTACAAGGGGGGGAAGTGGGTGCGAAAACTTGCAGAGAAACAAAAATATGGGAAATCTTAGAGAGCCTTTTGGGTGAAGTGGAGAGGAAGGAATTGCAGAGAGGGAGCTTGGAGGGGATAGAAAGGGCTGTAGTTGGAGGTAATGTGAGAAGGAACAAGAAGTTTCCTAGGAGTGAGGAGAGTGCATCTTTAGAAAAAGAGGAAACTAGTGGGGAAGATTCAGATGCAGAGTTTGTGAAAAAGTTGGGGTGCAAGCTGAAGAACCCGAATGATCTAAAAGCCTACATGCAAAAAAAAGAGGACAGCAAGATGAAGATTAGAAAGCTGAGTGAAGTGGAGAGATTAAAAAGAGATATTGAGGGGGACAAGAAGTTTGAAGTGAAAGGGGTTAGAAGAAAAGGGTCTAAATAATTCTTGGAGGAGTTAGGGTTAAGGCTAAGAGTTTTCAAGGAGAATCCTAAGTTGGAATATGAGGGGGTTGGGCAGTATTAGGAAGAGAGTGACAATTAAAGAGGTAATTAAGAAGTTTAATCCGGATGTGGTAATGCTTCAGGAGTCCAAAAGAATGGATTTTGATTGCAGATGGACAAGGAGTGTGTGGAGTTCTAGGGGGATAAAGTGGGTGCCTGCTCCCTCGTGGGGTTCCTCAGGAGGGATTGTGACCTTGTGGAAAGAAGATTTACTCATAGGTGTGGAGGAGCTAATTGAAGATCATTCTGTCTCCCTAAAGTTCAGATAGGTTGACGATGGATATGAATGGGTACTAACAAATGTGTATGGCCCCAATGACTATAGGCAGAGGGAGAAATTATGGGAAGAATTGAGTGACATTTGAGGCCTCTAGGATGGACCTTGGTGTGTGGGAGGGGATTTTAATGTAGTGAGATTTACAGAGGAAACCAACAACCCCAGATAGAGAGTGACAACAAGTATGAGGAAGTTCAACCAATTTGTGGACTCTTTTAATCTCAAAGAACTTCCCTTCCTAAATAATAACTTCACTTGGTCCAACCTTCAATCAAGGCCAATTTGCTCTAAGTTGGACAGATTTTTGTTCTCAATAGATTGGGAGGAACATTGGGGCAATATTACCTCTAGGGCTCTCCCAAGACTTACTTCAGACCACTGGCCTATAGTGTTGGTCAAGGAGGAATTAAAAGGAGTTGGGCCTACCCCTTTCAAGTTTGAAAACATGTGGTTGACTCGTCCGGGTTTCATTGAGAAGATCCAAGAGTGGTGGGAGCAAGCTAATCCGGTAGTTGATTGGGAGGGAATGAGGAGTTGGGCCTACCCCTTTCAAGTTTGAAACATGTGGTTGACTCATCCGGGTTTCATTGAGAAGATCAAAGAGTAGTGGGAGCAAGCTAATCCGGTAGTTGATTGGGAGGGAATGAGGTTCCACAAGAAACTCCAATACTTAAAATCACAATTAAAGGAGTGGAATAGGCTGGAGTTTGGAAGATTAGAAGAGAGAAAACAAATTCTGGTGGAGCAAATCGAGGATTTGGACCTGAAGGAAGAGAGAGGTTCCTTTGGAGAG